TCATGTTTATGACATTTCTAACAATGAATTCATGATGTGACATTACAATTTACCGAGAAATAACAGGTCACATCAAGTCATTCAAGGCCTTATCAGTCTTGTTACATAGGCAAATTTTACTGTAGTTCTGTACTGTGCTGGGCAGGTGACTTTGGTTCCAACATGGACCTATGAAGCCTTTAATGAATTTCTAAGCAAAGGTGTTCATCAGTGGAATTAAGGGAGCACCTGTGGCAGTTCTAACAAACAGCTGTAAAGTTACAATTCAGAAAATCAGACAAGTTACTGAAGCACTAAGAATAACAATTCAATTACTTATCACTCATTAAAGCACAAACACATCATGCAGATACTGATTTAATCTATTCCAATTTCTCGAGAATTTTACCAGGATTCTAAGTTCTTAGGCCACTTGAACTAAATATTCTAGGATAATTTAATATTCAAATAGCTTACCAGCCAATTAAATCTACTTCCACCTCTTGTAAAAGAAGCGGTCAATTTCTCTCAAACACAAACTCCATATGATTTCTAGGCTACATTCAGAAACACTCAAGGTTTTTCTCAGTTATCGTCTATGGGCGAGACATTTCCTTTTACAACTCTTTTTCAACTTTAACATTCATAATCACATACTGAGCTACCCTAATTTCTAGACAACTAAGTATCAGTTTATTAGCGAAATACAAGTACACATCAAATATTTTATGACAGCACAATCCCGTTTATCTGACCGGCCTGGCAATATCCAGAATTTGGGATAACTGGGCATTTGGACTAACAAATGTGCAATAGAATGTAGTGCTAGAAGCGAGGGGGAATAAGAAGAGGAGGTGGCAGGGGTAGGGCAAAGCTGTGCTGCGGCATGATGGCTGTCCCCAAAATGCTGCATGGACAGAGCCCAAAAAGAGAGGCAGAGAGGAGGGTGGAGGTGAGAAAATGGGAAGGAACAACAGAGGAGACAGGGAAGGAGAGGGGAGAAGGTACAGGAGATGGGAGTCTTGAGCATTTCCCAGCACTGACAACCCTGGAGAGTGAGTTGACCCTAACCCCTCACTGTTTATACTGGTGCCTGTGGATGCCAGGGCTGTCAGTGTCAGGTTGACCTCAAGAAGTAACAATGAGGCTCCAGTCTCCTGTGATTACTCCTGCTCCTTATTTCCTTTCCTTTCCCTCTCCTCTACCCTCCTCTGCCTCTCTTTTTCCCTCCTTCCTGCCCTGTCTCTTTCCCTCTACTCCTCTCATGTGTCTCCCTTTGTCCTTTCTGACCTTGAACACTTCTCTCAATACTCACCTTAATGCCCTTCATCTGTTTCTTTCTTGTTTGCTTTTAATCACCCTCCCCACCTTTTCTCCTTGTTCTCATTTCTAACTCTGGAAATCCTCCCAAATCACAGCTTCCACTGCCCTAAGGTTAGTTCATCAGTGGGTGATGAACTAACACAGCACTACAAGGGTTGAGACACACGCTAGGCACTCTGAAAACTAGGATTTCTGGATACAGGGAATTCGGATAAGTGGAATCATCCTCAAGTTGTTTTTAACTCAGGTAATTTTAAAATAACCAAGTTTTTATTTGGGAAAACAAAATGAATGGAATTTTGCTACTTATCCATTAAAAGAGGCATGAAGGCATGTTCTCCATCTCTGCATCACTTTGGCTCAGCGTGGTTTCTCGAGATAGCTAGAAAATTCATTCAGGTAGTTCATTCACTGAAGGGGTTATGATAACTGTGTTCTTGTTCTCTTTCTGGATCTCACAACAATCTCCCTAGATAGAACTTTAAAGGAAGAGTTAATAGGGGGATTATAAGGGAAATGACTTTAGTATTTACCAGACTGGGGACACTCTCAGTAGCCAGGTGATGACAGTGCTGCTCACCGTCTCTCTCATAAAGATATATGAGCCTCAGGGAGTGGTGATTTGACCCAAACAGCTTGTTTTATACTGTTTCTGGGGGCTTGTTTTCTTCTTGGTATAGCTGCTGTGGGCCAATCAGAAAGTGACCCCTGAACCTGGGAAAGATTTGAAATGTCCAACCACAAATTGGACATTGGAATTCTTGTGATTTCTGTTTGTGTTGGGAAAATTCCATGGTCTTTGTGCAAAACATCTTGTGCCATCCCAGATTGTGTAAAATATATTAGGCCAGAGAGGTTTGTA